AGTGGGGCATGGTGGCATGTGCCTGTGGTCCCAGCTACTCAAAAGGCTGAGGTGGGAGGATCACTTGAGCTGGCGAAGTAGAGGCTGCAGTGAGTCGTGATTGCCTCACTGCATTCCAGCCTGGGCAAAAGAGTGAGACTGTCTCAAAAAAAAAAAAGAAATGAAGGAAGTAAGAAGGTGCTGATTAATACCTCACACTGAGCCTTTTTTCCTCCACAAACTTATCACTGAACCATTTCACTTGGAAAGTAAAAGGACTGCGTATTTCTCAATGAAAGTACGTTTTCCATGCAGGTGTAAATACCAGTGTTCTCTTTCAGGGTGGGAGATGGAATAACCTGTAGCAAGAGAAGAATCTTTAGATTTGTTTAAATTATACACAAATGATAAGAGATCTTTCTGAAAGTGTTCAGTTTTTTGGCAGGGGAGGGAAGGGGCCTGATAGAACAACCAACATTTGTACATTTTAAGTTTACATTTAGAGTTCACATTAAAAGTTCATTTATAAGGTATCTCTTTGAAATTAGTGAGGATGAGCTGGACTGGGTGGCTCATGGCTGTAATACCAGTCCTTGGGTGACTGAGGCGGGCAGGTCACCTGAGGTAAGGAGTTCAAAACCAGCCTGGCCAACATGGTGAAACCCCGTCTCTACTAAAAATACAAAAATTAGCTGGGCGTGGTGGCGGGCGCCTATAATCCCAGCTACTGGGAAGGCTGAGAGGCAGGAGAATTGCTTGAACCCAGGAGGCAGAGGTTGCAGTGAGCTGAGATTGCACCATTGCACTCCAGCCTGGGCAACAGAGTGAGACTCCGTCTGAAAAAAAAGAATAAATCACAAGAAATGCTTCCTTCACTGCTGTACTTTCTCAGTGATACAGTTTTTTACTGTTTTATTTTTTGAGACAGAGTCTCACTGTGTTGCCCAGGCTGGAGTACAGCCTAAATTCTTGGGCTCAAGTGATGCTCCCACTTCAGCGCCCCAAGTAGCTGGGACTACAGGCTTGTGCCACCTCACCTCAGCTAATGTTTTTTT